TGTAATTGGCATATATGTGCATACTGTGTTTATAATGCTTGTGAATTAAGACAATATCGAGGCAATACGCACAGTATACACATATAGCCAATAAGAGACTGACCAGTTGCAGTCCTAAACATCAATGGGATGATTCAAAAACCAATACTAAGTGAATTCAAATATACAAATTGAACCGTGATTTCTAAAGATACATTGAGATCTTTCGAACTGATCAATAAACGATCGAATTCTGATCTTGATGAATTACATGAATCTATAACGATCAAATGTTCAGAAAGAAATAGTAATAAACCTTTCTTTACTCTAGTAATATTTTACATCTATTTTATTACGTCATACATTATTTCAACTCGTTCTTATATTTTGATTACATCATTTTCACTTCTGAGGAATTTATTATTGATTGATTTCCAACTGATATTACTCTTTACTATCTACTAATCTGTTTTCAGTTAATTTATTATGTAATCATACGAAGTTTGTTAACTGTATAATTTTTATCAGAAGGGGTTTTTATGGATAATATAGTAATTCTAATAGTTAAGATCATGAGTCAATTGAAGCTAGATCATCATGGAAAACCTGGAAGCACTAAACGGCCGTTTCGTCCTATGTTCGAATTCGATGGGGCAGGATCGTGGATGCTCACTGCTGAGGAGTCCCACATTAGGAATAAACGACCATCCAGTGCTTCCAGATTCTCCATGGTGGTTTAACTTTGATGGACTCATGAATTCAGTTGTGAAAATACCACTATCTCCCCAAATGCCATTCTGATAATTATCATGTAAACGATATTTTAAATTTATCATCAATAATTAATATTATTATCAGAAGGGGTTTTGTGAAGATTTAGTATTTTCATAGTTGAAAGCGTGAGTCAGTTGAAGCTAGACCAGTAGGGAGTTCAAGCCACGTCTGTTGTAAGATATCAACTGACGAAAAAAATTGGTGCACGGTTGCTCAAATTAGTGGATCGGTTGTAGTTAGACATAAACATCATCGGATGCCGGCCGGCTCAGTGGTCTATCGATTAAGTGCTCTGACGAGGCGAGGTCATGGGTGCGTACTGCTGAGGAATCCCACAGTAGCACGAAACGGCCATCCATTGCTCTCAGGTTTTCTCTGGTGGTCTAACTTCAATTGACTCATGAACTCAACTATGAAAATAATTAATATATAAAATAATTCGACGTGTTTTTCTAAAGTGATTGCTATTCAAAAAAATACAAAATATAATCTAACTTTTTACACCTCTTCGTAATTGTATACATTTATAATCACCCACCACCACCACTTGTGTTTTTATTACAGTTTAACTTGATTATTTGTTACAACAAAAATCCATTCATGATTTTTTTTTGTGATGTTCACTCAACCTGTTTAAATCTGTGTTCTTTTTTCATGATTATTACGTAATTCATGTTACCAATTTTTCAGTCCACCTACCTCACCTCTTTAAGTTGTTTACATTTTCAAAGGGAACATTTCTAATATACTTGTTAATGATATAAATGTCAATAATGACATTTATATCATTTTAAGGAATTCACTTCATCAAGTTTGATTATGTAACATTACTTCATTTTTTTCAATTCATTCATCAATAATTTTAATTAATTTCATTAAAGGTGTTAACAGTTGACAATAATATATTATATACTCAATTGTATATAGTTGAAATCATGAGTCAATTAAAGTTAGGCCACCATCGAAAACCTGGAAACATTGGTCGACCGTTTCGTCCTATTGTGAGACTCCTCAGCAGTGCGCATCCAAAGCAAGAATGAACAATTCACATTAAACATTAAACGAAATTAATTTCCACAGTTGAGAAGGTTTGTTCAACAAGACAAGTCTTGAAGGTCAGAGGACCAATTAATAGAAATAGTATGTAAGACGAATATCACATGAAAATTCTCGGATCATCAAGTTATTTTAGATTCACACAATTCAAATGGAGTTTTGATCAACTTCCGTTTTTATAAATTAACATACGACATTATTTCAGAAGCTACCTCTTTTTGTTGACTTTTTTCACTTGTGAAACTTCATTGACTGAAAAGGCTAGGACATATATTAAGTATGCTCAAACGTATACCTCAACAGACGAAGTTAGCAAGAACGGACGTAAGCTGGAAGAAAGTCAGGGGTTGTCAAATTAAAACATGCCATTAACCCATGAAGTCACTGATTGTTTGTCTGAGCCGTGTTGGTGGGTTCGGACATGCATACATACATATTTTTCCACTGATTTTTCGAACCATATTCTCGATGTCTTCTCCATCATATTGCCATTATTACTAAATCACATCGACTTCTCTACTAAACGTATTGTCAATTTCATCTAAGTATACTGATGTACTATGGTAACTTTGGAAAATACATATTTATGTCGGGCTCTATTTTGACTATCAATGATTGGATGTTTTATTTCCGCATCCCTTACAAATTCACACAAAGCTACAAAACGAAAGGAGAAATTCTTTCTTCAGATTAGAGGTAACTGATATGCAACTAAGAGTCTTCTAGACTTCACTTGGATTTCATTAAACGTCCTTGCCGAAAATTTATAATAATCTATACTTTCTTAACCTCCACTGATTAACATGTTGACATTAACTCATAGTCCTTTTATGTTAGAGTTACTGATGGGGATTAATTTAATTTAAAGATGATTCCCCCTCCTATAAATTCTAATATCAAGTGAAATGCAATTAAACATGGGGGAGAATTTAATACTGATTTCGTTCGTTAATAAAATTCACAATCGTAAATAATCTCACAAAATTTTTGAAGGCCCGAATTTGGATTTCGTCTTTTCTGGGAATTTCTCAATAGCACTCATCTACTACTACATATTGGCATTCAAAGCTCACAATCAACACGTCAAGTTATAGACTGTTCGTTTAGGATACAGTGGTCCATATTTTCAACATCAGTCAATTCAACACGTCCATACAATAATGATAATAATAATCGATTTATTCAGTACTTCAAGCACTGTAGGGGATACTCAGAGTAACTAGTCAGTCATAACCAAAGTAGAACATGGAGTGTTTGCATCGATTTACGTTACCAAACCTCATCAGCAAACTGAGATTAAATTAGTACGATAGATTTCATAGTAGTAGATATCCTATTAATGTTAGTAGTGGGCATTACACAAGATTAGGCACAGACATGATTTGAGGAAACAGATGGACATACGAAGTATAAAGCATAGATATTTTAGATCAAAGATTGAATCTATCTATACCGTTAAGACATGTCATATAGCCTCTTCAATCACTGATAATGATAATCACGTGAACCCTAAAACCAGTGGATTTTAACTATTAACACGGCTAGGTCTGATGGTCACTGACCTCATGGATTGATATTACATCTTGGTTTGACAGCCCCTATCTTTCTCCAAACAACGTCTACACCAGCAAAAATAGAGCATCGAGGTTGGCTTTTATTGAATATAGGTAATAAATCTGATTCTTCATACAGTTATTGATCAGTTTGGTCTGAATAGATAAACTTTAATTTGAATTTTCTTCCCATAGACTACTATTTCATTTCTTTTATACCTATGATTAGCCTCAAAGTGTTGGTGCCCGATCCGGTACACAAGTTAATCAACAGCAATTGCAATCCAGTTCTCCATCATTTAGCACTACATCATCGGAATCAGATATTATTGTGAATGAACCGGAAGAAGGTATTGAACAGTATCACAATCGTGAAAGTAGTTTCCGTAATGATTACTTACCTACGTGTCAACAAAAAAGTGAAGATTACAGAAGAACAGAATCTCCAATCAAATCATTTAAACAGAAATACAAAAGTCATAAACCGTCCAATTCATCATTAGTATCATCTCATCATATGCATGAAGATTCTCATTCACAACCAAATATCTTACAAAACGTTTGTAATGACAATCAGGATAATACTGATACTGTAAACGGGAAGCATTCACCTGTAAACAACAGTAGCTATCCTCCTCTTCCTCATCAACAAAATCACTATCAAGATGAAAGACCTCGACCAATTGTTGAATCAATATCGAATGATTTAAGTAGTTTAGAATCAGTAACTAGTCAACAAACTGTTTGTAGTTTAAATGAATCTCAACCAATAACCGATTCTTACGATAATATACAAAATAAAACAAACAGTAATGAACACCGACGTATTCGTCATCAACCACCGCCGCCTCCACCTCAGTCTAATCCATCATTGAATCGTAATGGTGAGTACTAGTTATTTTTAGCATTCCTCTTCCAATTTCTGATTAATTGTATAAACATTTGTCTTACACACAATGTTTGGTTTTATGTAAAACTTAAACTTACAATATACTAACATTAATGCAGTTTAAGATACTGATGACTTAGAACTCAGAATGAATTTTCTACGAAATGTTACCACTGTATTTTCAAGCTTCATTTTATGAGGGAATGTGGTTAAAGAATAAACATGATAATCGTACAGAACGATTTTAATACTAGTTTATATCGGATAAAATCAGGAGAGGAGCTGACCTGGTTGTGACCAAGAAACACTGGACAACTGGGGAAACAGTGTTACAAATGTTTAATATAGCCTCCCTACGAGATACCAATAAACTCAACGAATTCAAGATAACTCTCAACAACAGGTTCTAGGCCTTACAGAATCTACCGAAAGAACAAGAACCTATGATGGAGGACAACTGGAAAGGGATCAAAGAAGCACTAATTTTGACATGTTAGAAGGTTCTGTACCGCAAGAATCGTCATCATAAGGAATGGATCTCTATAGAAACCCTGAACAAGGTTCAAGAAAGGAGAAACAAGAAGACAGCAATTATCAACAATCAAACAAGAACAGAAAAACTCAAGACACATAATGAATACACAGAGGCGAACAAACAAGAGCATTAGGGCGGACACCTAGAAATCTGTGGAAGACCTAGCAATGACGGCGGAAAAAACTGTAAGAGAAGGAAATATGAGACAACTATATGATACAACGAAGAAATTGGCAGGAAGATATAGCAAATCAGAGAGACCAGTTATGAACAAAGAAGGCAAAACAATCACTGAAATTCAAAGAGAGAGGAACAAGTGGGTAGAACACTTTGAGGAACTTTTGAATAGATCAGCTCCATTCAATCCACCGGACATCGAAGCAACACACACAAACCTTCTTATAGATGTCATACCACCAAAGATCGAAGATATCAAGATGGTCATCAGACAAATCAATAATGGGAAAGCAGTAGCACCTGACAATGTACCAGCTGAAGCACTGAAGTCAAACATTGAAGTAACAGCGAACATGCTTAACGTTCTATTCAGTAAGATTCGGAAGAACATGTTCTAAGGAACTGGAAAGAAGGACACCTCATCAAGATACCAAAGAAAGGAGATCTGAACAAATGTGAGAATCACAGAGGCATCACACTGTTGTCAGTACTATCATCAAGTCGAACCTTGGCATTGATACCCATAATGTACAAGTATTTATAAACGATTGTCTACACAAGATACTCAATATCCGTTGGTCGGATACCATCAACAAAAGCCTACCGTGGGAGAGAACAAACCAGCTTCCAGGTGAAGAGGAAATTAAGAAAAGACGTTGGAAGTGAATAGGACATATATTACGAGGTAAGCCCTAACTTGGAATCCTGAAGGGAAACGAAAAAGAGAAAGGTCAAAGAACAAACTACGTTAGGAATTGGAAGCAGACATCACAAGGATAGATAACAACTGGAAAGAACTGGAAATGATTTCTCAGGACAGAGTCAGATAGAGAATTCTGGTGTGCGGCCTATGCTCCTCCACGAGGAGTAACAGGCGTAAGTATATCGGATAAACCTTTTCTGATTATCATTGCTCCTATTCACTAATTAAATAAAGCCTTAAAAAATTCATCATCCCTATAATGAATTCGTTAAACCAAAAAAAGATTCATTTACTAAATTATGTACTTTTAATCTCTTCAAATTGACCAATTCTAGAGTTGACCATTCAGTTCATCAATATGTTAATACTATACAATGATTTAACTTTCATAGGTTTATCATGTTATGCAACATGTATATTTAAATATTACGTAATACTATTAGATAACCAATCATATTAGTACACTAACATTAATCTGTGTTATCTACATGTAAATGGATGATGATTCTACTTAAAAAGGGTTAATAATTACTTTCTACTATACATTGATATACAATTTAAACAAACAAAATAGAACCGTTGATGATTGGACAACTATAAAGTGAGCATTTATCATTAAATCAATAATAATTCATTATATAAATAGAGGGTGTAATTCAATGTTCATGACCGAAAGTGATTGAAAGTAAACTAAACAAAAATTGATCTATTGTGTGTATATAAAGTGTGTGTGTTTGTGTCTGGGTGTAACTGAGATTTACATTGTGATCAAACTTAGAAAAACAACAATGTCCATTATTGATCAAGATCTATTTTCATATTTACGTTATCAAGCTTCAAAAACTGATCTTATTATGAATAAAAAAGATGGTAGAAATGAGAAACCAACATGGCGTGAAACAGATCTAGATCATTTTACAATAAGAAATCATCAAGATAACAATCATAATGATGAAGATAAGAATGAATGGAATCAATATACATCAAATGATAATAGAAATAACTCTTCAATGAAATGTGGAAATTCAAATGAAATTTCAAGGTAAGGAATGTAACTTTTAACATTGAAGTATAATTTAATATTCAACACCATCATTGAATGATTTCTGTTGTCTTATATACATCTTGAATAGATTACCTTATTATAAAGCATGTTGTTATAATTGATACATGACTAGCAATCAAATTTAAAACGTTTATTTCATCTTTGGTTAGCGTTGTTTTAGGGAGTCTGTCTTCTACCCCATGCCCAACCCTCCTCTTTTAACTGGGCTTGGGACCGGCAGTAGACCCCAGAGGAGCTACAGGTGGAACATTTGAAATAATAACTACTCTAGGTTCATGTCTCATTGTAAACATCAGTACTGAGATGAAGATGCATGCCTTGGACGAGTCCTAAATAGAACAAAGTACTAGTTCAGCGAATTCCTCTGTTTGAATTTGGCTGTTTGATAATTACGCTTTGCTATAAGTTTCTATATAAATCCAATAATTCTTTAGACGGGTTTAGTTATTAAATATAGGGCGATTAAATCATTTTAGGTTAAAGAGTATCATACATTATTCCTTTGTTGTGATTGATTTTTCAACTGATCTATCACTAATATGAATAAAGCTATGAAGAAAAATATAATTAACTCCTTATATATAAATATTCATAAAGGATGAACACGTTGTTATGATGATAACTGAATTTTCATAGTTGAAATCATGAGTCACTTGAAGCTAGACCACCATGGAAAACCTGGAAGCACTGGATGGCTGTTTCGTCCTATTATTATGTTTAACATCAACACCGTTGGATGCCGGCTCAGTGGTCTGTCAGTCAAGTGCTCTGCCACGAGACTGGTAGGTCCTGGTTTCGAATCTCGCGAGTGCGGGATGGTGGATGAGCACTACTGAGGCGTCCCATAATAAGATAAAACGGTCGTCCAGTGTTTCCAGGTTTTCCCTGGTGTTCTAGCTTCAATTGACTCATGATTTCAACTATGAAAACACTAAAATCTCCACAAAATCCCTTCTAATAACTGAATTATCACTATCGAGACAATGAAGTTATTATTTGTCTGAATTTTGAAACTATGGGGATAATATTAAAGTGTATGGTCTAGATTATAATCAAATGTTATTAGGTGTTTATACCGTTTACAAATTTAAATGCATCTTGAACTATGTAATCCTTGTTTATCTTACACTATATTAAATCCTTGAAGAAAATTAGCTTTTCTCAACTGATAACTACCCTCAAAATGTTTAAGTTTTACCATTCTATACGATATCTAGTTAACTGGATCCGTTAATTAACATCTAGTCACTGCCTTATATGTTCGAAATCAGTTGCATCGACACTAGTTCATACATCAAAACGTCAGTACAATCATTTCACCTCGTAAAGTGTGACAACAGACTTATACAAAGACTCCCACATGATAATTATGTTATAGGATTGATATTTGCATAGAAATGCGGCCTCTATGCTAGAAAGTGTAAAATAACTAAGTTCGTTTAGTTAGCATTCTCCTTAATCTTTTTAAAAAAACAAATGAAAAATATATGTGATCACTGCATAAGTAATGACTCTATTCAATCTTGTACACAACATAGAAATAATTCACCTGCATCTCAGAAGGTTGATAAAACTAATTATGATCCCAGCTCAACTGATCATCCAGCCTACATTCCATATTCGACTGAAACTACTCAATCATCTATACACAAAAACAAGGCAACCGAGGAGGCTAATCCAGTGAACAGTTTGTTAAATATTCCACCGCATAACTTAGGACATTCCACTTTACATTCTGTAAATCAAGCATCAATCGGTTGCCAACAAAATAACTCCTCAAACAAATCACTTCCTTATGAGGATGAACCAGATTCAGAAGCCTTGAAACCACCGTCTCACGCTGTAGTATCTACTAACCGATGGACTGACGAACCCAGTATTATGATGAGAGGTCTAGTGGAACAAACTGATCTTCCAGTTGTACATATTAACCCTCAACGTGGTCGGTAAGTAGCAGTAGTAATAGTAGTATTTTTACATCACACCAAATCGTTCTCACATAAATATCCATAAGCTATGCACATTATTATTTTGTTCGTGTAGTCGGTGTTGTATTTTGTTGTTTCGGTCTTTAAGGTTTGAGTTGAAATTATTTTTTTGGGTTAATGCACTGATGTACAATGACACTACTGAATTTTTTTATTATAACACTTTGTCAGAAGGGGTTTTGTGGAGATTTCAGTATTTTTCATAGTTGAAATCATGAGCCAATTGAAGCTAGACCACTAGGGAAAACGTGGAAGCACTGGATGGCCGTTTTATCCTATTATGGGACTCCTCAGTAGAGGAGTCCCTGATGGTCTAGCTTCAATTGACTCATAATTGCAACTATGAAGAATAACACTGTATTTATTTTTATATATAAACGACTTAAGAAAGGTTACTTTCTGTCTAAGGACGGAACCGCCTATCTTATCTTTTATTCATAATGAAGGTTGCAAATCATGTTCACGAATTGTTTAATAAATGTTAAACACCTATCACTGCTGATCGGCAATAAAATGGATTATGAGTTTTCCTGTTATTACATTTGTGCACATGTAATGCACATTCAAATCAAACAAAATCTACTATCAATAATATGTAACTATCCCAATACAAATAGTTCTGAACAACGTGATACAGTTTTATATTGTATTTACTTACCTAATGACTTTATTCAGCAAACTGGTTGACTTAGTGATTAAAAGAGTTTACAATTAACCACTAAGTTACAGATTTGAGTTAATTAGAATCATCTATATGTGGTTGTGGAAATCGTTTAGTTTTTCGATTGAGATCAGGAATTGATCAATGTTAGACCACCATTGCGTCACACAAATCTCATTCGACTTGTGTAAGAGCTGTGATACTGCCCAGGTGCCCAAAGGTGGTTTTCTTAGGGGGCCACACCCCGAGCCTTTGACCTAAAGGTCTAGTCCACAAGTCAGTGGAGCATCGTAAGGAGATGCAGTCCCATGGTAGCCGGTCACCAACGATTGATTCATACTCCATTTGTTCCCTCAGCATACTGAAGCCCATGTGCACCGTTGGTTTGGAATCAAGGTTTACCAACTCCCCTAGGTGACCTTTCCATGTCCACTAACCCGGTTAAAGCGCTGGACATTCGCTTTTCGTCCTCTCAATTTCGTAAACAACAATAATGCCACCAGAAGGCAGTGATTAGGACTTCTCTGTCAGAGGCTATATACGCGTAGCCATGTGGGTTGATTTCGAGAGTGAGAGCGGACTCTCCCCACTCTCGGCTGTACCAGGGCATTTGGGGGCGTTAAAGACTGAACTAAGACCATTTGTTTGTTTCATATAAATTTATGTTCATAAATTTACTTGATTTTTCTTATGACCATGTTGTTTAATTCGTTTATTCATTTGTGATTTTTCAATCAAATCAATCAAAAAGTATCTCAACCAGACCCTATCAGTCGAATGAAACAGATCAATTGAAAATGGAGAATAATAATAACACTATGCAACCATCCAAATCTATTGTACATGATCGTATTCCTCAATATACAAGTGATTATCGAAAATATGATTTACTAGGGAATTCTACATCTGTACAAAAATCAGCATCATATATATCTACTTCATCTTATCCAAATCAATCGTCAGGTATACAATTTTCAGATAGTGATAAATTCAATCCAGTTTCTTCACAAAATAATCGAGTAAG